TTTCTCGGGAGTTGACTTTTGTTGACTTTTCATTTCCCGAGAGTTGACTTTTTGTTGACTTTTTCCACTTTTGGCCCATTTTGCTCATTTTTGCTTCCCTTTTGCAGATTCTTGAAAATGGCGGGTACTTCTTCCCATGGCGGAGGTTTTCCAGGTGCCGGAGATGATTTCAGCCCGGAAGTGCGAAAAACGGGCGCTGGGAGGCTCCGGAAGAGAGATAACTGGCTGCTGCAACAATTGCTGGCCTCCCACCCTTCAGTGACCTTCCTTGTGATAAAACAGAGGTACCTGCCAAAAATGAACGAAAACCGTTGCAAAACGAATGTTCCGGGGCCAAAACACGCAGTTCGGGGTCCCGAAAATGGGCTGTTAAGCACCGAAAATGGTATTCGACCTCGAAGTGGGTTTCTCAACCCCCAGTGTCCCTCAAAAGGGAGCAAATAGGAAGTATGCCAAAAACCGGGGAAAACGGAGATGGTCAGGCGGTCCCGAACCGAGGCACACGGCCTGACGGCTCCGAAAACCGGAAACCGGACTCCGAAATGGGCAAAATGGCCTACGGCCACCAAATGTAGCCTACGGACATTGAGAGATGGTCTACGGGACCTCTCCCTTCCCTCAAGAAAAGAAACAGAGAAAACCGAGTCTGGTTCGCAAACCGAGGCAAGGTACAAAAGAGGGTTCGGAAGTCCGGAGGCAGGGCTCACGGCCGCGACTCTGAAACTTCTGAACGAGCACATTATGCAACATCACCAAGCGCTCAATCGGTGACGTCTGAGTCTTAAGGTCGGTCAAAAATGGGGTGTCTACACCAAGGTATATTCTGTGTCTATTTGTTACTATTATTAAAACAGTGGTAATTCTCTCATTTTTGTTACTGGAGAGTGTTGATTATTGAGTATGGTCAATTTATTAGTGATAAATTTATGCTATATACTTTTGTTAAATTTTTATATTTATACAGTGATAAACTTATTATTCATTGATTCTATATGTTGTATGCTGCTATTGAATTTTTGTCAGTGATAAATTTATCTATGGCTGGTGATATATGTTATATACTTTGTGTTTTGATTTTCCTTTTGTAATTTTTTTATTTGTTATTGATAACGTGTATATATTTTTTGTTTGTAGGTTTATATCCGTTATGTTTTGCCATTGTTGATAGTGAAAGTTATGACAGTTGGCATTGGTTCTTGTCAAAGTTATTTGTTATTTTGACTCCAGGAAGGGATATTGCGTTTGTTACTGATCGACATGGAGGTTTGCTAAAAGCTTTAGCTGAGGTCTTTCCATTTTCTTCTTATTCTTTTTGTCTGATGCATTTGAAGATAAACTTGAAGGCTTATTTGTTAGTGAAGAGTCGTGAATCTAAAGAGTATATGCTTACTCTTTTTAGTAGATATGCATATACTCCTACTATTGAGTTGTTTAATGAGCTATTTGAAGAATTTAAGGATTGTTGTGGTCGTAGTGTTGAGAAGTTTCTTGAGGATTTGACTAATGAGTGTTGGTGTAACGCTTATTTTCAAGGCAAGAGGTATGGTGAAATGTGCACAAATGTTGTGGAATCTTTTAATTCATGGATTACGGATGAACGCCATTTGTTTTCAACTAGTCTTGTTGATGCTATACGGGTGAAACTAATGGAGCAATTTTCAAAAAGGAGAGAAGTTGGGAATAAGTGGAATTGTATTGTTTGTCCTTTTGCAGAGAAAAAGTTGGAAGAAGCTTTTAATGATACAAAAGCATGGATAGTTAAGAAATGTAGCGATGACATTTATGAAATCTAATTGGATCATTCAGTTATGGTTGATATTGGGAAGCGCTGTTGTTCTTGTCGATTGTGGGAAATTCATTCTTTTCCTTGCACATATAGTTTTTGTGCTATAAAGAGGAGTGAGAAGGATCTGAATTGCTTTCTTGATGATTACTACCGTGTTAGTAGTTATTGTGATTCTTATTCACATTCTATCTATCCAGTTCCTAGTATGTGAAAGCCAAATGTAGTTGTTGATGATGACGTTTTACCTCCTCTTTGTAAGAGACCAGCTGGGCGTCCAAGAACGGAGAGAATACCTTTTAAGGGCAAAATCAAGAGAATTAGGTGCAGTAGGTGTGGAAAGATGGGAACTCATAATCGGAGACATATAAAGAAGCTTTGCTTTAGTTGTATTGATTTTAATTGAAGTACTTTGTTTAGAGGTGTTATTTGCATTGAGTGATTGAGTATTTTTTGAAAGATGTATCATTTTGATACTTACATTGAATGATTGAGGAATTTGTTGAACATAAATTATATTTTTTGCTGATATTTTTACCGGATTAAGTTTCACAGATTTTATATTATTTGATTTGGGAAATGTAGTTGCTATTTTTGGTGTTTTATAAAGTGATAAATTTATCACTGGTTGGTTTGGACAAGTTGGTGGATTATTTTTTTTGTAAGAATGATAAATTTATGATTAATGTAGTTCTTGAATTTTGTTATTTTCAAGAATGATAAATTTATCACTGATTGTGTGGGAAGAGTTGATGGTTTATTACATTTATGTCAGTGGTTGATAAATTTATCACTGTCATATCCAAGCAAATGTTCTTTTCTAAAGTGATAAATTTATCATTGTCTGGAGTTATCTAGTTTTTCCAGGAAAAATTTCCACAATACAAAGGTGTTGATCAAATCTCTAGAATACATAATTGCATATCTGCTGTGTTAACTGCTTTAAAAAGAAAAAAAAAATTTAGATCAACTACCATGTTTTTCTAGTTTAGCAGCAAGTTCTCAGTCTGCATACTGTTTTATAGTCACTTAGAAGCAAGCTTTGGATGTTTGAGTTGTTTAACTGAAGTATCAAATGATTTTGATTATTCAGAAATCACCAAGGATGGCATGTTCTTACATTCATTCTCAAACTTGGGAATATCTACAAATTATAACAATATTTTAATTTTCAATTTGGACAATGTAATAGTGCTTTTGTTTTAATTTTCAGTTAGGTAAATTTTTTATTATTTTTTATAATGTTTTGTTTGAATTGGGGAAAAAGAATGAGAGAGAGAGAGAGAGAGAGAGAGATAGAGAGAGAGAGACACATACAAAGAGAGAGAGAGAGAGTTGCTGGTTTTTTTTTGTTTGAATAGTGGTAAATTTATCAGGGTTCACAGTGATAAATTTGTTGAAACAGTGATAAATTTATCAGTGTAAACAAAACACAATAAAAAATAAATTTATCAGTATAGTAACTCCAAACCTGTTATTAACCTTTAAATTCAACACAAATACTTAGATTAGAATTAATATTTTTGAATGAAATTTGGATAACAAGACTGATATCAAAAGCCAGATCTGGTAACAATATGGTTAAAAAAGAGTGAATGTTTCATTGAAGCAAATTTGACATTGTAACAACCAAGTATTGTCCATAACTTTGACATTGTAACGACCAAGCATTGTAATATTCATTGGAGGAAAGTAAGAACCAAAATCATCAAAATACAGGCAACACTGTAACAAGCAAACAAGCAAAATATATGAAGTATTGACATTCTAACAACCAAATGAATCACTGTTTCCTTTTGTTTTCTTCTCTTCCAGATCTGTTGATTATTGCAAAGGCAAGTCATCAATGTTTTCATCAGGTATTTGTTGTTGAGCAACTTGTTGGTCAGTAAAAAAGATAGTTAACATATCGACTCTCAATTGATTGCATTCTTGCTTGGAAAAAGTAGGCATTATGTTGTTCTCCTAGATGTGTGATGTTCCATTTTGCAAATCTTGAGATTGCGTTCTTGTCATTTGGTTTGATGATCTTTGTATGCTTACATATCCAATACTGTTGAGGACAAAAAAAATGTTATAAATAAGTATTTAGTAAATGTAAATATTATAGTTTATAAATTATAAGTGAGGTATTTACTTACCAATAAGATGATAACACATCCTTACACTCTATCAATTTGGTTGATGTTGCTTGCTATTGATCTTGCAAGATGTTGTTTTGCTGCGCCACACCAATCATAAGACTTCGTTTTGTCAATATCCTTGAGGTATTTCATAAACCCCCAACCAATTGTAGTCCCAGTACCCGGATATAACAAAAGCAAACAAACCAGAAGGCACACAAGCCTAACAACATCTTCTACATCTTCATTGTTGTTGCTTCTCAAAAGTTTCGTTAACAACTTTTGGATTGCAGCACTTGTCATTATGCTCTCGGTTATTTTCCTTTTTTGCACCATAGCTACCTCATTTTTTCATCTATATGCGAGGTTCATCTTCTCCTGTCCACATGCAATCCCAAAAATTAACTTGAAGTTATTTCTTTTCAACTTCAGCTTCTTCCCACCAATTTCAAATGTAGTTCCATCCATTTGGTAAGTTTGCAAAATTTTTGCAACCACATCATCATATTTAATTGAATCTCTTTCTTTTAACCTTGTTTTCACTCAATGTATCAACTAGAAGTGAAAAAGGAGTCTTTCTCAATAATGTCAAATGCTCCTCTCTAAGTTTGGTTGTCTTGAAAAATTTGATAAGAGATTGAAGGTTAGAACGGTAGATATACTTTGCTTCATTATCATGTATCTGTTCAGTCCTAGTTTTTCTTCCCTCTTGCTTTGTGGAGCTCTGTAGCTTGTTTCAGTTGCTGCTGTTTGGGCTCCTCATTGTCAATGTTAGATTCAGGTTTAACTTCTAGTTGATTTTCACTTTCATGTGTTGTTGGCTCTATAACAAACTCAACTTTTTCAATCTTTTTTTTCTTTGAGAAACTTGTTTCTCGACGACATAATCTTTTACGATGACTAGGAACATCTGTACAAAAATGTCAAGCATGAACATTGAAAATTAAGACGAATTTATCACTGAACTAGGCAAACTAAGAAGAATTTATCACTCTATTATGCAAATTAAGCAAATATATAACTGTATAGCAAAGTTTAGATTCCAAATTGCAAAAGAACATGAAGTATCACGATGAAGATGAAAACAACTGATAACAAATTTTATCACTCCATTAGGAAAATTAAGCAAATCTATCATTCTTATAGCAAATTTTATCACTGATTTGGGCAAAGTAAGCCAATCTAACATTGTATAGCAAATTTTATCACTAGATTAGCAAAAGTAAGCAAATCCATCATTGTATAGCAAATGAACATGAAGATGTGATTATTATGAAGTTGAATATCACTAATAAATTAATACTGTATGGTTCAGATTGAAAATAGTTTCAAGTTGAATTTTATCACTCAATTATAGTTATGAGAGAAGACGGAAAGCAAATCTGTTATTCTTATAGCAAATTTTATTACTGAATTGGGCAAAGTAAGCAAATCTGTCATTGTATATCAAATTTTATCACTGAATTAGTAAAAGTAAGCAAATCCATTATTGTATAGCAAATGAACATGAAGATGTGATTATTATGAAATCGAATATCACTCATAAATTAATACTGTATAATTCACATTGAAAATAGCTTCAAGTCTAATTTTATTACTCAATTATAGTTATGAAAGAATAAGGGAAGCAAAACCATAGTTATGAAATAAGAAGGGAAGCAAATTCATCATTGTAACAAATTTTATCACTCAATTAGGAAAATTAAGCAAATCTATCATTCTTACAGAAAATTTTCTCATTGAATTGGGCAAAGTAAACAAATCTGTCATTGTATAGCAAATTTTATCACTGAATTAGCAAAAGTAAGCAAATCCATCATTGTATAGCAAATGAATATGAAGATGTGATTATTATGAAGTTGAATATCACTCATAAATTAATACTGTATAACACACATTGAAAATAGCTTCAAGTTGAATTTTATAACTCAATTATAGTTATGAAAGAAGAAGGGAAGCAAATCCATGATTATAACAAATTTTATCACTCAATTAAGAAAATTAAGCAAATCTATCATTCTTATAGTAAATTTTCTCACTGAATTGGGCAAAATAAGCATATATGTCGTTGTATGTCAAATTTTCTCACTAAATTGGACAAAATAAGAAAATATGTCGTTGTATGTCAAATTTTCTCACTGAATTGGGCAAAATAAGCAAATCTGTCGTTGTATGTCAAATTTTATCACTGAATTAGCAAAAAGTGAGCAAATCAATCATTGTATAGCAAATGAACATGAAGATGTGATTATTATGAAGTTAAATATCACTTAATTATAGTTATGAAAGAAGAAGGGAAGATGAATATGACTCATGTTTGATTTGCATGTTTATTGAAGATGAACTAAACAGGGAGAGTAGATGTCCAAATCAGAATATAGATCGAAATGGTGGAAGATTTGCTTGGGAACTTTTCGGAATCGGTATGAAAACAGAGGTGATTTCTTTGGAAACGCTGGGAGATTCAAGGAAAATCTTTTCGTTTGTTTCGATTTCCAAATCGCAAATCGCCTCAGAATGGTTTCCAAATCGCCTCAAAATAGTTTCCAAATTAGAACAATTGAGAAGGAGTGTGTGTGTCACGCGCGCAGGGGAGAGCTCGTGATATCTTCTTTGCTTCACGTGTGTGGTGTGACATTGAGGGATAAAATTGGAAACTGAAATAGGGCAGGACTTGTTGGGTATTATTCTATTTGCATGGGACCGGCTGGTAAGTCCCCCTAAACTTTGGCCTTGTTTGGGAAGAAGGTTGGGTTAAAATAGTCTATTAAAAAATAAAATAAGCTAAAATAGTCAATAAGACAAAATGTCACATCCAATCCATAATCATTTTATTTTTTCTTTCACAACTATCAAATCAACTATAAAAAAAGGTCAACCAACTTCC